TGCGCAGTCTCTCTTTCCCGCGGATGTCGCCCTCCATTCTTCCGACCGCCCGGAAAAGAATAAAGCGGATCTGATGGTCAGTTCCAGCCATTCAGATAACTGGAAACGGCAGAGAATTGGAGACCAGCCACTTACGGAATCCCCATGGTGCCCCACCTGCGCAGGCGTTGGAGAGAAAGAACGGAAAGCACGACGGCCAGCCGATAAAGAGCAGGAGCAGAAAAAAAAGCCTGCCTCAGTCAGTATCTGCTACCTTCGGTCTGTACTTTGACCGTGTACCGTTCCCAGTTACCGTCCCCGTCTGTCGCCGTGGTACCTTGTTCTTGCGGCATTTGACAGCCAGCAACTCTACCTTTCTCGAATTCCACTCTTTTTCTGAATTCTTCCACTCCCCAACTCCTCCGATCCCGAACAACATCTATTGCTCCGCGAATACCCTCACGAGGCACCAACGACCGTCACGATGCTTTCCCGAGGATCCGCCCGCACTGCGCAGGTACGTCGCCTCTTTTCCAACTCTCAATTGAGTCCCTTTTCTGCTGTGCAAGCCGCGACGTGGTTTTTTTCTCGGTGTGTGTCTGTGCATCGTGATCGCAGAGGCAAGGCTGCGATGTAAGAGGGGGAGAAACAACAACAACAAGCACCAAATTGCGACCTGGTAGATGACGCAGAAAATACGACGACGTCGGCCAGGATGAAAGGTTTTGAAAGGAATACACGAGAAGCAGACATATTCACAAGCACACAAAGCACACGACCGCCAGAAAATGGCCACACATGCAGCGAGATATGTCACGATAACCCACGGACAAATGGCTAACAATCCTCCCCCACACAGATTCTGCGCACCGCGCAGCCCGCGCGCGCCTACGCCACGGTCGGCTCTGACATCTTCAAGCCCACCAAGTTTGGCGGCAAGTACACGGTCACGTTGATCCCTGGTGACGGTATCGGTGCCGAGGTCGCCGAGAGCGTCAAGACCATCTTCAAGGCCGACAACGTCCCCATTGAGTGGGAGCAGGTCGAGGTCTCTGGTCTCAACACCACCACCCCCGAGAAGACTGAGGATCTCTTCCGCGAGTCCGTCGCCTCCCTTCGCCGCAACAAGCTCGGCCTCAAGGGTATCCTTCACACTCCCATTGAGCGTTCCGGCCACCAGTCCTTCAACGTCGCCATGCGCCAGGAGCTCGACATCTACGCCTCCATCTCCCTCATCAAGAACATTCCCGGCTACCAGACCCGCCATGAGGGTGTCGACCTCGCCATCATCCGTGAGAACACCGAGGGTGAGTACTCTGGCCTTGAGCACCAGTCCGTCCCCGGTGTCGTCGAGTCCCTCAAGATCATCACCCGCGCCAAGTCTGAGCGCATCGCCAAGTTCGCCTTCAACTTCGCTCTGGCCAACAACCGCAAGAAGGTCACCTGCATTCACAAGGCCAACATCATGAAGTTGGCTGACGGTCTCTTCCGCTCCACCTTCCACCGTGTCGCCAACGACTACCCCACCCTCGAGGTCAACGACATGATTGTCGACAACGCCTCCATGCAGGCTGTTAGCAAGCCCCAGCAGTTCGATGTCATGGTCATGCCTAACCTGTACGGTGGCATTCTGTCCAACATCGGCGCTGCCCTTGTCGGTGGTGCTGGTATCGTCCCCGGTTGCAACATGGGCCGTGATGTTGCTGTCTTCGAGCCTGGTTGCCGTCACGTCGGCCTCGACATCAAGGGCAAGGACCAGGCCAACCCCACTGCTCTGATTCTGTCCGGTGCCATGCTTCTCCGTCACCTTGGTCTCGATGACCACGCCAACCGCATTTCCCAGGCCATCTACGGCGTCATTGCCGAGGGGTAAGTTCTTTCGTCTCTCCTGGGATTGCAATGAGAATAGCTGCTAACAACCCAACAGCCAGGTCCGCACCCGTGACATGGGCGGTGAGGCCACCACCCACCAGTTCACCAAGGCCATCCTCGACAAGATGGATACCTTGTAAATACAGCTACAGACACACAAACCACCATCCCTGTAGCTATACGATAAACCAACCACAGCGGGCGGCTTCCCACCCTCCTCAAAACGACCCCCTATTTACCTACCTTTTCCCCCGACAACGCGATTAGACTCGAAATGAGGCGAGACTGGGACGGAGATAGATACCACCGACGCGGTCGAATTGCATAAACAAGCGGAGGAATAGATTTCTGGGGAGGAAGGCTCGGTCTTGCTGGGAGATTGTAGTTGTACCAGTTGTACGTAGCATAGGAGTCACGCAAAGCATATGAGTTCCTTTTTCGTTGTTTGAACAAGACCTGACCAAGCTCCACTGGCCCCATGTGCTCTCTTTTATATGTTCAAGGTGACAATTGCCCCAGATTCTAAACTTAGTCCATTATCTATTGATGACGAATGCCCGCGCTGCTATTCGACGACTCGTGTTCCCTCGAACCAGTTTCGCATTGTCATCAGGTATCTACTATCACCGACGTTGCTCGGAGTACATATAGCCTTGCGCCGAACGAAACGGCATCATTCTCATGAAGTTCTCAGCCTCGCCTCAAGCGTGGGGCATCTGCGGACTTGACAAACCAATTAGCGGTCGTGCTGGCTACATGATCTCGGACGTGAGTTTGGCTTCGGCTCGGAGAGCTGGCGGCGTGCTGACTCGGATAACATCGGCAATCCGAGGTGGTGCTCGGGCGCCGATGTCTCGGCCGTTTGGTTGGTGGGCCTTTTGGTTTTGCCGAGGTTAAGCCTTTTGGGTGCCATATGCTTTCTTCAGTCTTGAAGATGAGTGAAGAATGTGGGTCGGTTCTGGATAAGAGACAACTTTGTTGCTTTTGTCACAGCAACGAGGAGTCTTTGGGAACAGTCTGGTCGGTGTATTTTCCAGTCTGGCGTTGTAAATGTGACAGTTTTGTAGTGTCAGTTTGTGTTGACGTTTAGGTGCAATCGCGTAGCTGGACTGTTTGCTATCAAAAACTGAGAGTCAGTGTCTAATTGAGTTGAGTGGTAATAAGAGATACTCTTGAGTTGTCTGAGCCCTGAATAACTGCAGCAACACAGACACCAACGCCGACGACAGCAACTAAAGTTTTCCGGTATCTGCAACCCGAAGATTGCTGTCCAGAAGTTTCTTTTACTCTCGACAAATTTCGAGGCTCACGTTGCTTCATCCAGATTTTGAATATCTTTTATAAGCATCGCTGGCCCCCTAAGTCTTATTATATAGTTATTACCTACTTATGATTAGTGATGCCACCACGCAAGCATTCATGGCAAGCAATGCTGGCAACTTGTGCGATGAGGTAATGGATTAGCCTCAAAACTTGAGGAGTGATGCGGGAGAATGCTTTTCAATTCAGGGCAGAAAAACATCATACAACTGACAAGAAAGCCATATTTCACCATATGTTCTTGGCAAGCGAGCTGAAGATTGACAAACCTCCAGAGAAAAATACGGTCCTTGTCAATGCCTGAGCTAAGAGAGCTTCACACTTGCGTACTTGGCAAGTATTTCAGCTCCTCCCGACCACTCTCGCCAGACAGAATCTCTGTACACATTCAAAGCCTCCTAGTGCCAGTACGTATAACTTCCCTATTTGAGTCAACGAGGACAGGATCGATAGTCCGTTCATCTCATGTCTAACAAGCTTAACTAGCAAACCCAAAAATAACAGCTCACGTCTGACGATCGGCCATCTAGAGACAGTTACTCGCACACGACCGATCTAGCAGCCAGGCTCCTGGGTAGTCCCAGATTACGCTCATAGTGTCTTGTGTCACATCTCACACCGAGGGGTTCAGTAATCTCTGATGACAATCTGCATCCACTCCGGGGCTACCTAGCTGGGGCGTAAAAGGGGGGTTGGAGGTGCACGCAAGCGCGTGACAAGATTGCTTGCCGCTCTATAGGTACACTCTTTGGCTCTTTTCCTATTGTGTCTACTTTATTGTCACTGTTCTTTTGTTCTCTATTTCTATGAACCCTACTTCTATGAACCCGATCCCTTTTCTGTCTTTGAAGAGCATTCTTCAATGGATATGTAGAAGAAAAAGTGATAGCAGAAAGAATCAAAAAAGGAAAGAACAAGATCAGGTAAGAGGGCGTGCAAATCTTGTTGACTAGGATTCTATTCTGTCACCCGATTGGCAGGAAGAGAGACATCTGAGATCTTGAGAGTGGTTGAAGCTGAGACAGCCTGTAATCTCTGACGAGCTTCCCTCTTTTTTGTACGACTTGCGATTTTCTCTATGGCTTGAGAGGGTAACTGACTACCTCTCACAACTCACTGAGATAGTCCTACAGTTCTGTACGAGATTCTTGAGTCTTGACTCCTTTTCCATCATTGTATGTGGTTTACTGTGCTCCCATCACAAACCTACTACACCATAACACCGGACGTCAGAGAATCCCCGACCCGACATCTTCAGAAAACTCAGTCGCCAAAGAAGCAATACAATCGCAGATCGCCTCCATCTTGCCTCAATTTTACTCATGAGAAACAGCAAAACAGCCCACACTGGCCTCGAAGCGCCGTGTCAGGGTGCTATCGTACAGGGCTCGCGGAAGTCAACTACATGAGTCCCCATTGGCCGAGTTTCAGCCACCCAATTTGTGTAAGCGATTCTCGGGAATCGAAGACGGCCGAAATTCTGGGTCCTCTGGTGGATAGATTTCTGTACGATCGATCGCAGATACTCCGCCGGATCAGAAACAGAAACAGGTTCATGGGAACCGACACACAGTCACCCAGCATGAGCGAGCGATATATCGGTATCCAGAACCCAGATCTGGCAGACTATCCTTGCCAGGCAGGGCAGTTTCGACGGAAGCACTGTCTGCAACACCGAATCACACATGCCCCCTTGAAATGTCTCTGCAACATGGAGGCATCTGTCCATGTCGGCTTTGTCACACAGGAAAGTCAGCGGAGAGCGCACATATATCCACCAATCGCGAGACGAAATAATCAATTCAGCCTTGGAACATCTCAAAGTATGCATGAGATTTACTTCATCTCGAGCAGAGCATGCACTGCGGGTGCATCTCAAAAATGACGATGCAGCAATAACCCGTCTTGCAGGGCAGGCCTCGAGGAGCAAGAACCCGAGTTCGCGCTGGGAGGTGGGGGGATGGAACGGGACAGGCGTCTACCCAGCAGCCAGCCGCTCAAGAGGCCAAGAAAACAGCCAACTCGCAAGGACTTCCCAACTTGTTACGCCGACATCAATAGTTTCCCCTTTTTTCCTCTCTCACTGTCTCTACCCTAGAATGATTGGATGGTCGGGAACTTTCAAAAGTTGGCATAAGGCGAATCGGCACGTCTTGATTTCAGGTGTCTCTGTAGGCAGACGCAATCTCTGTTGTCTTATTCGACCTGGAGAACGAGTTGCCGAGAGAAGGGGGTGCCTTGTTCCAAAGATCCGGGACCCGTGTAACCTCGCGGCAGCATCCGCTGTGGCCGGCACACATTGTATGCCATATGGCCTTTACCCTGTTACAAAAGCCATGCTTTCCAGCGGGCGTTGGCAGCTCTGTTCACCTACCCCGCTTCAACGGCACAATCCTAATGAGTTCAATGGTCAGCATGATAATCTCTGTCAAGGCAGTCGTGGAAGAAGATTTTGTTTGCCCTCTTGGCGCATATGCTTCCTTTTAACCCCCCTTGCACTAGACATTGCTTACATTCTCGTGGGAGTTTTGCGGATCGGCTCTCCTAGCGTCGGCGTCAGCCATGCGGGAGCAAGGATCAGTCTCACTCTTGAAAATCCTGAGATTCTCTCTTACACCCGCTCCCCCACCCCTCATTAACGTCAGGCCCTCGTCGACAGGGATGTAAACAGCGAAAGAAGCACTCATGTCTTTCCGGACATGCAGATCCAGTGGCTTGATTTCTGTGTTACAACAAGACTTGAATTATCGTTGTCTTGTGATCAAAGAAGTGCAGATGCCGGGCCAGGGTCATCATGTCAAACATTGTTGGGAGTTGCAGTTGGTGGCGTTTTGACTTGGGTGGAAATTGTTTGCCTGTCTTGTCTTCGATACCGTTGGTCCGGACATGGCTTGGAACACCCCTGGCGAAGGATTGTGATGGCTTTATGGGGGGTAAGCATCGAAGTTGCAGATTCGGTCTAGGAAGAAATCCCTTTGGGTGACATGTTTGGCGGGTCAAAGGCCCGGTAGAAAATGGAATCAAAGGTGAAAGGTGGAATATCGACAATGGCTTGCTTTTTTCTCCTCTGGGTTTTGGTATTCCTTCCTTAAAGATGGGCATTCGCTCCTTCTCAAGGAATGTCGTCCGATCTTTTGGGAACTCTAGACGTTTACAAAAGAGCTCAATTCGACTTCCAATCTATAGGCTTCACCTTTTCGCCTTTCCACCCACTTCGCCTTTTCACCCTCGCCTCCCTTTCTCCCCAACCCATCCAATTTTCGTTGAGAGAACTGATATCAACTCTTCTTAACCTTGATCCTAGTTCATCATTAATCTCTTCACTATTATTTCTCCTTCCGACCTGGACGTTACGCCATCCTTGTTCTTGCCCCTTGCCCTCGAACCATGGCTTTGAAGCTCTGCACAGGCATTTCGCTTCTGCTTGCAACTATTGGCATCAGATTCTTGTACCTGGATCTTTCTACTGCATTCAAGATCTTCTTGACTTCATTCACCTTGCAATGTACTTTTCTCTTAGGATATAATGCTTTCCTCTATCCTTTCTTCCTCTCACCGCTGCGGCACCTTCCAGGACCAAAGGTAAGGAGTGCCAACTTTGCTCACATACACAACGGAAAGATCGACACGACCACTTGAAAAATATGAGATATTGCAGAAGCGCTAATTCACGAAGCTTATAGGGCGGTCATTTCCTGATTGGTCAGATGCTCAATCAGATCAGAACCCCGGGGCCAGCCGATATCTTCATATCTTGGACAAAGCGATGGCCCGACGCGCCTTTTGTGCGCTACCTCTCTATGTTCAATGCTGAGACTCTCATGGTCAACAGTCTGGCGGCTTTTAAAGAGGTTCAACAGACGAAGGCATTCTCATTCCGAAAGTCACAGTTGGCAGCACGCATGTTCTCCCCCATCACCGGACATGGACTCATGTTCTCAGAGGGCGAGGAGAGAAAGAAACAGCGAACCCAGTTGAACCGTGAGTTCCTTCATTTCAAGTTACCCCTTGCTTTATTCACGTTACTTTTACTGACATTGCTACATAGGGGCGTTCTCAAACCAAAATACGCGCACGATGCTGCCAGTCTTCCAGCTCAAAGCCAATCAGATGTGTGAAGCAATCTTCCGAAACATGGGCGGAGAGGACGTCAAGCTTGTTGATGGTATGCTAAAGTACTGTCTTTTCCTGACTGACTGATGCTGACTTCTGTCTCAAGTCGAACCCTACATCCGAAAAGCAACTCTCGACGTCTTCGTCATTGGCTCGATCGGCTGCGATCTCGACGGCATCTCCATCCCTGAAGCCCACTTCTACGACGTGTACGAGCGCATTATCCGCCAGCCTCCTTCCGGCCACGTTCTCACCTTCATCGATGGCCATATCCCTGTCCGCTCTTGGCTCCCTCTTCCTAGCAACAAGAGATGGCTGAAGGATGTTGCCCTGATTCGGACAATGCTCCTCACCTGCGTTGAGAACCGCCGTGCTGAGATGATTGCTGAGAAGAAGCTTGGTCCCAGTGAGAAGATAACTGAGCATCGCGATATCTTGACCTTCATCTTGGAAGATTGCCAGTTTGACAATACTCAGACCAATTGGACTGACCTGGAGCTTCTGGAATACGTACGGAGACCTGTGATCCCGACGCTTTGATGTGTGCTGACATTTCATGAACAGATGCTCAATTTCATCGCCGGAGGTATGACGAGACACAATGTGAACAGCCAAAGATGTACGCTAACCCTACGTTATAGGCCACGAAACTACTGGATCTATCACCATGTGGATTGCCCATATCCTTGCCACGGAGTCCAAGGTGCAGGAGCGCCTCAAGCAAGAAGTACTCGGTCTCTGCGCCGGCAAGCCTCGAGACTGGAACCCGACCTACGAGGAGACCGAACATTTGGTCTACGTCAACAACTTCCTCAAGGAGATGCTGCGCTTTTACTCCCCTGGTAAGCCTTATCGAACCTACATACTTCGGGTTCGATTTGCTGACCAGATTCACGAATAGGAATCTTCCTCCCTCGTGAGGCAGCAGAAGACGTCACAGTCTGCGGGACCTTCGTTCCCAAGGGAACACAAGTGACTCTCTGCCCGGCTGTGGCACACTTCAACCCCCTTGTATGGGGTGATACCGCCGACATCTTCGACCCCGATCGCTGGTCCGACGGCCGCGCATCCAAGGACTCGTATGCCATGGAGTCGTTCCTCCAGGGCCCGGCAGGCTGCATCGCTAAGAACATGGCTTTGCTGAACGTTAAGAGCGTAATCTTTGCTCTCGTGCGGAACTTCAAGTTCTCGCCACGTCCCGGATATACTGGCGTGGTAGAGCTTGCCAATCCCAACTTTACCCTGCGGCCCAAGGGTAGTATGGCTGTTACGATGGAGAGAGAGACGAGATAGACGGCGCTTATAGAATGCTGCGCTAGAGTTTACAGGGTGCCGAAGCATGTGTATGCTGGCACCACGTACGATGTGGTCCTTATGAAAGGACCGATTAACTATACATAATTTGGACAAGGGGCGAGGTAGACTAGCATTCGCTCGTAATTACATTGAATACTAATGAAACTGGCGCTTTCTTCTATTCTCCCCATGATGCGTGAGATGAGCTTTGTACTTCAGGAATAGTGAGCGAAGCCTCAGGAAGCACCGTAATGTCTTGATAATATTGTCTGTTGATAGAAGTCTGAGGATTTACCTGAGTCTCTCTTCATCTTGACCGCCGTCTTGTCCCTCGAAACTACTTTATTCCCCACACCTGGTTTCTCAGATCGATTTCTCAGCGAATTCCCAAAGGAGTCTTTGGCACATCCCAACTCAGGAAACTGACTCATTCCAATTGAGGATTCAGATACCTAGGTAGATGAGGTAGCAGTTATACTTTTTCTTCTCGTTGAAAAAGAAGGAGGCTTAGACACATTGACCTGGTTGCTCCTCCCTTCCTGAATGATTTTGAAACGCCAATTCCATCTGGAAGGCAAGTCAAACAACATCGCTCTCAAACGCCCCTTCCTGTACTCGCCTTGGACCTGCACCCACTTGAAAGCCCATATCGCCGCCTGCTTGGGCACCCTATCTTTTCCCTTCACCACACCTTTCCACCACTTTACGCACTCCCCTTCTCTGTGATAACCAACCCAAACACCGGAATATTCTTCAAAGGTACCTACTTAACACTACTGGCATCGCGTGAGAAGAGCTCTTTTGGCTTTCTTCTCACGTTGTCGTCAGCACATGCAACATTACATCTTTTATCATTGATAGCATCGACCCAAAAGACAAGGCCCAGGTCTGATCAGCGATTCATATCATCGTCATCACAGTAAGACCTCCTTTCATTTCTTCATCTCCTGCGTCCCAAAGTAATCTGAAACGTTCAGCAAATCTCATTATTCACCCCCAAACCCTTGCCACAATGGCGGCTCCATCCAAGGTGATGCTCGAGTCTGGCTCTGACATGGATCACAGTGTCATCAAGCCTTCCAAGCCTTTTGACCCTCTGCAAGGCACACTTCATGAGAATCATGCTGCCTTCCAGACCATGCTCACACTCAAGCCTGATGATATACCAATCTACAAGGTCGACATGGGCAAGCCTGCTGAAGAGCGCTACATTGAGCTCGCCAAGGATCTTGCTCCCAAGATAAGAGAAGTGAGCCCTCTCTTTGACGAGGTGATTGAGGCGACCGTACCTCGGGGCATGTCTGGATTTGCCAAGTTCACTTCCCGGTTCACCCTCCGTAAGGTCTTTGACCCTGAGCAGACCAAGGAGATCAAGTCCATCGCTGAGGTTGCTGGCATCCCCGTTCACCAGCTCATGGCCCTCAACACCTTTCTTGACCTGATGCTTGGATGTACATCTGGAGCTGCCTTGGTCAAAAATGACTCCAAGCGCAAGATTGGCGGCGGTAATCCTGACCATCTGATGCACTTTCGCACTCTTGAGGTATGGCTATATCCCTTTCTAAACAAAAAACATCTAGCACTAACGACTCATCGCAGTGGGGCATGGATATCCTGCGTGATATCCTTGTCATCATTGAGTATGTCAACACGAACAATGGCTCGAATGAGGTGATTGCCAGATCAGTCACCTATGCTGGCTTTGTCGGCATGCTGACTGGTGTCCGGTAAGGTGCACTTAGATTTCCATTGAGGACTGACATGGGCTAATAATTATCTTAGCAAAGGTCTATCCGTCTCTCTCAACTTCCGCCCAAACCATTAGTGTGGTTCGGGCAGCCTTCTTAGGCACCAAATTAAGGTCCTGTTCGGCTTGCGCGAGTCCGTTCCCTCAATGCTCCGCCGCATCATCCTCAACGAGGATATTTCCTTCAAGAATACCAAGGCCTATGATACCAAGGACCGAAGTCCCCGTGAGGACAGCAGAAAGCTCACTCCCATCACGTCCATCGGCAAGAAGCTTGCCTCTTCGGACGCGTCGCCCTGCTACCTGATCCTCTGCGATGGAAGAGAGGTAGTGAACATCCTCAAGGACCTTCATGACGGCAAGATCAAGACGAGCAGTGTCTTCCAGATTCAGTGCAACCACGACCCTGACCATCGACGCTGCTGTGGCCGCATGACTGTACGCCACGACGCCGACCCTGTCCAGGCAAAGCTCATGGAATCTGAGGACTGGATCGAGGTGTCTGCGGATCGTCAGAACGCCTTCCACGACAAGTGGATTGAACATGTCCGTGCTATCACCAATGGAAATGACATCACCTGGGCCAAGCAGAATAGTTGCTGCACGGATCTTGAGCTTGATGCTGAAGCCAGCAAATCTGGCGAGATGACTGGCGTTGACGAGGCCAAACTCCTCGAATGGATCGCTAGCTATCCTACCACCAATGAGTCGACTCACTTCATGTGCATCATGGATCCTCTGACTGGTGAGATCCGCTGGATCTCTCGTGGTCCTGACCCTCTCGCAATGTTTGATTTTGGCGACGAAGTTTAGTCGTTGGCCCTTATGCAATCAAGAGAGGAAGCAGCTCGACTTTGCACAGCAATGTTTCTCGTCTGACAGTGCTAGGAGGATACCAAGGAAAGGAGTTCTCGAGGCACTACATCGACACCAGGCTTTTGCATTTACACATGAGCACAACAAAAAGTCGGCAGTGCAAGGGAGTAGCATTGGATGACCTCAGGGTATGGGTTACATGGGAATAACGTTATGTAACGATAACAAGAGTCGTGAGAATAGAGCATGCCGCCAAAAAAGGCCACTCAAGGCTGTAGCGATCAGGTGGTGATTGTGAGTGGTGCCTTTAGAGAGACCTCGGTGTAAGTGAAATGTGCTCGGGCTCAGCTTGCACGCTGTAGGCGACGTTGGGTGGGGAACACCTGCAGCGTAGCTTCTTCAGCGCCTTCCAAGAGCGACCCAGCACCATATCACCCTCAAAGAGAAGGCCAGAGGAAGGAAGTGCTGTCCAACACCACAATCCAAATTTCATGATTGAAATTTTGAAACTTCCACACTGCGACGACCACAAACTACCTCGTCGCGACTTCTTTCCATCACAGCTCCTATCAAAGCCGAATCAAAAGACCGCCGAAATGCCAGCATCAGCACCAGCTCTTGCTCTGAACCAGGGCCCAATGACTAACGAAGTCCTGAGGGGCATCTTCGCGTCCGACCAAGACATGTACCCCGCGCCGCTGACCTGGGACCGCCTCCGGAGCTGGACGACTGCAGCGCCCGAGCTGGCCACTTGCTTCTACCTCTCTGCCGACGCCGTGGAGAACGACGACACCCAGACACTCGTCGGAGCCGTCATTGCACTCCCGATACTGGCACCTGCGTGGCGGGATTTGCTGGCGGGCGAGGTCAAGGAAGTGGATGTGGATGCCGGGACTATGTTTCCTCGCGATGGTGCTGAGCATCCAGAGGTCGGGCTGCACGTTTTTCACGTCGAGAGGTTCGATGTGCCTGAGGCGCGGGGTAAGGTGCGAGGATTCGCCGAGACCTCGATGCAGGCTGTCGTAGCTGCGGCAGAGAGGAAGGGATGGTCGATCATCGGCTATTCAGGTAAGTGATTCGTAGTGGCTGGCCAATGCTGGCGTTGCAGGCTTTCGATTGACATCCATTATGGGAGGGAGATATCGATGTGATCTGACATTTAGGCAGCACTCACAGCAACGCCAGAAGGACGAAGATGCTTTGAGAAAATGGGCTTCGAAGCGACGGGCTACGAGGAGTTCTGGGTTGACGATGATGGCCGCAAAGGTGTCCAACTGGTTACAATCACAGCGGATACCGCGCCCGAGGAACGGGAAGTGCGAGAAGCGGCGACAGTCCGAGGCCAGGCGAGGATGCTAGTGAAGCACTCGCATCCAGTCACCGATGCTTAGCTGCGCTTGAGGGTCATCGGAGATTTCGAGACTTCGAGAACAATCAATCAATGATCGACGATGCGGAGGGAGGGGCCTCCCGTGTGAGTACGGAATACAACGCAAGGAGTGGAATTCCAGCGGAAATTTGGCTTTGAAATCAGAAATCCCATCACGAAGTGAAAGCTGGGTCGAAGCTCCTTGACGCTGGGGCAATCATTCAACCGAACATAGCAACAAGCCAACAATTGCCCCGGACCCCGTTTTCCTCGCCAGAATCCCGTTGCTATCCATCAACAAAGTGCGAAACGAACCTCGGCTCCTGTCACCCAGCAGACGTGGTCCAGACTCGTTGCGGATACCCATGATGATACAAATTACCCAGTTGGCAGCTCCGTACGGTACACCAAACCTCGGCCTCCCGCCCCGCGGACCTGGCAACCGGCACGGCTCAGGCGACTACCGATGTTTTCTGCGCTGTTCTTACTTTATCGGGGCCCTCCTCCACCGAAAGGGGCAGCCAGCTCCGGGTGGTCGAGCGCCAGAACAATAACGGCATTGAGCTTGTGCTTTGTCATCATTGCTTCATTGGTACGGGGTAGAGATTTTCTTATGGCACGTTTTGGAGAACGGAGAGGCGACTTCGAGCAAGATTGGGTCAGGACTAGTCAGTGATGGGCCTCACCCTGACTCGAGTTTCCTGAGGCCGAGGCCATCCCGTTGAATCATCAATTCCTCGAAGCAAGAAGAACGATACAGCAAGACGGGCCCACCAAACAACAATGGCGGGAGCTGTGCAAGTCAAAGTCTACATACGACCACGACGATTGACGAAGCGATCTTGACCGCAGATCAGAGAGTCTGGGAGGCCCTGGCCTCTAATGGCCTTCATGGTGACATCGATGAGCTTGATTGGGCCTCTCAGACACACCGCCTACCCAAGCGATATCTGGTATGTGTTTCCGCATCTCGAAGAGGGATGTGCCCCGCCATGAACCGCGGCATATTTCACCAAGAAAAGATGGAGGGGCAAATGGAAAGGAAGAAAAAATCTAGCGCCCATGTTTAAGTGCTGCTGCTGACAGATCAAAAGAAAGGGTCCGTGGGGACAACAGCGGCCAAGTCCCGTTTGACAATTCCGCTATCCTTTTTCCAGGAACCACCTCACAAAACACGGTCTATTGGGCATGGCCAATACCGGCGACCCCCGGGCTGTCGAAGAAACTCCACCGGTCGAACAAGCAAAGTGGGTGCCCCTCCTGGCAGTTCTTCCATCATGACGTTGCCGTTTCCAATGCCTTCCGTCGCCCCGTGTTCACCAGGAAGCTTGAGGAGAGCTGAACACTGAACCGTTCCAAGCGGATCACAGGGTCGGACCCGGCGCGGGCCCGATGGACCCTTTGACGGGATTCGTCATGATATGGAGCAGATGGTTTCTACGATATATTTAACACCAAGATAATCCCATAGTTTCCAGTCGAAGTTTGGAAGAAGCATTTACATCTCTTCCCTATATATCCAATCCACTACATATTCCCTTTCTTGATATCCCGTCACTTAGACACTCACACTTGAAACACTCTTACAATGGCTCCTACTCCCAACAAGTCTTTCATCTTCAAGCAGGTCCCCAAGGGCCTGCCTGTCGCCGGCCAGGACCTCGTCACCGAGGATCGCCCCATCGACCTCGAGCAGGACCTCAACGGCGGCATCCTCATCAAGGTCCTCTACTCTTCCTTCGACCCCTACATGCGCGGCCGCATGCGCCCCGCCGAGGCCGGCAAGTCCTACATTCCTCCCTTTGAGCAGGGCGCCGTCATCGCCTCCTCCATCGTCGCCCGCGTCGAGCGCTCCGATGCTCCCCAGTTCGCCGCCGGCGACCTCGTCACCTCCTTCATGGGCCCCAACGCCGAGTACGCCGCGATCCCCGCCAAGTTCCTCCCCGGCTTCTTCAAGGTCCCCAACACCCACAACGTCGACCTTCCCCTCTTCGTCGGCGCTCTCGGCATGCCCGGTATGACCGCCTACGAGGGTTTCTACGACATCGGTAAGCCTAAGAAGGGTGAGACCATCTTCGTCTCCTCCGCTGCCGGTGCCGTCGGCCAGATTGTCGGCCAGCTCGCCAAGGCTGAGGGCGTCAAGGTCATTGGCTCCGTCGGCAGCGACGAGAAGCTCGACTTCATCATCAACGAGCTCGGCTTCGACGCCGGCTTCAACTACAAGACCGAGTCCCCTCACGACGCCCTCAAGCGCCTCGCGCCCCAGGGTATCGACATGTACTTTGAGAACGTTGGCGGCGACCACCTCGAGGCCGCCCTCGAGTCCTTCAACCAGCAGGGCCGCATCATCGGCTGCGGCATGATCTCCGACTACAACACCCCGCGCGAGCAGCAGAAGGGCGTCCGCGGCCTCTTCCACCTCGTCGCCAAGAAGCTCTCCTTCCAGGGCTTCCTCGTTAACCTCTCGCCCGAGAAGTACAGGCCTTTCCAGGAGAAGGTTCAGCCCATGATCGCCAACGGCGAGCTCAAGGTCAAGATCCACCAGACGGATAGCATTGACCAGGCTGCTGAGGGCTTCATTGGCATGCTTACCGGCCAGAACTTTGGCAAGGCTGTCTTGAAGATTGCCCAGGAGTAAGAGTCTCGAAGCATGGACGGATGGAAATATTGCATTGAATAAAGGTTTGGGAAAAGCATGTTAGATGTATACTATAATGACAATTGATGACCAATGAACCAACGACGAAATTCCACTGTCATTGTAACTGTCATTGTCTGCTCGATATGACAGGGTGATGTGATTTCCGTCCTGTCTTGAGCTTACCGGAAAGGCTCCGAGTTTGCGTCCTTCTCTCAAGTGATGTCGGACAAAAAATGTGCATGCTGGCTACGTGACGTGGTTTTAATCGCAGTGTCGCAAGGCGTCACGTCTTCCCTTTCACTCCGGATTGCTTTCTTAGGGCTCATAAATCACGTTTGTAAAGGTACGTGTTCGATTGATATTGTGTATAATTCTATAGAAATGGTATCAAGTGCTATCCAAATCCAAGCCATTGCACCTGGCAAGTTTCCATCCAATGTCCCTCTATCTCAGAGACCACTGTCTACCCAAAATGGGAAATCGGATCATCCTACTCTAAACGCCAACAGATCGTATCGCTAAATTTAGAATCCCGTGCTCAAACTGAGGCCTGTCTCTCGGTCTACTCTTCCGTTTTAACCTCTACCAAACAGCTTCTTGGCAGTCACACGTCTCGTAGACGAGGGCGCGTGCTCATTGGCGTCATAATACCCTCCGTAACCATTAGCGTGCTGCTGCTCCGAAATCGAAGACTGCGAGCGGTGGCTATACGCATCCGACGCCGCATCATCGGGTCTCAGCTTCTGGGGACGAGGAGGCGGGGGAGGTGCCTGGGCCGGCGCGGAGGCCTGTTGGGAGGAAGGAGCTCTGTAGTACTCTTCATCTTCCCACTGGGACGTGCTTGTGTTTGTCCGAGCGGGCTCGGCGCGCTCCGGTCGCGAAGTCGGGACGGGAGGAGCCTGGGCCGGCGTTTGGTGCCCGCCGTAGGAGTAGCCGTTCGTCACCGACTCAGTGGGTTGTGTTCTCGCTGAGGGACGCTCCTCCCGCTCGTCGCGGGAGCGTGTTGAGCGGTGAGTTGTTTCGCGGCTCGGGCTGGCATTGTTGCTGACAGGCTTGCGCGTAGTTGCCTGCTTTGGCTTGTCTTCGTCTGAATCGGAGCTGTTGTCCTCTAGATCGCGGTCTTCATCGGCATACTGTGATTTAGTCGTTAGCATTGTCGATTGTGATGAGGGAAAACATATGTGGCTTACCATTCTCAGCTCCTTGCGCATGGCCAAGCTGGCGCAAATGTCGCGGGCCTCTTCGATCGCAGTCTTCTGCGTCTTGAGCGTCATTCTGCGGTCGCGCGTCTCCTTATTCTCGGCGGCGATGGCTTCGACCGTCTCGGCAGGCATGCCGAGAATCTCAACAGAGTTGAAGATGCTGTACATGCCCTGCAGCAAATGTCTCTCGACGACCTGCGTAATGGTGTTGCGGATGAAGGTCTTGGCCGCAAGCTCGTAGAAAATCAACATCTTCTCGCAGACTTCCTGCGCCTCGGTGTAGGTGGCACCATCCTTGGTGGTCTCGATCTGCCACTTGCGAAGACGCTCCTCGTATTCGGGGTCGTACGGCTGGATTTCGAGGTTCATGTCTTGCGTTAGGTGCTCAAGCTCGACCTGTGCGTCGGCCAGCAGCTTCTTCATCTGAACATCGAGGAATTGATAGCGCAGGGGCTCGCGCATACGCTGAGGCCACGCGAAGTCAATGACCTCACTGAGAAACTCGTTGCACACGACGCCGAGATTGTCCTTATGCTCCTGAGCGAGCTTTGGCCAGTTCTCTGAGTAGCTCTGGAAGAGCATGTAGACAGCGCGAGGCTTGGGATCCATTGGAAATTCGGAACCACGAATCTGTCGCAGAAGCATCTCGACTTCTCTACCGACAAACTCTCTCTTGCTGCTGTCGCTGATGGTAACACCATCTGCGGTACCGGGTGCAGTGGATGACGAGAAGCCAAACTTGCGACCGTTCTGGCGGATACGGTGCGAGAACTTTTCGTTCTCCTCAATGGCGCGGGCACGCAAGTTCTGAGCGGGAGTGCCGCGGGGGTCGGCTGTGGCGCGGAAGAAGTTCTTGCGAGGAGGATTCTTGTAGAAACCGTAGACGGCGGGGATAACCAGTTCCTTGGAACTGGAGAAGAGCTCAACGAGCTCGATGCGCATCTCCTCGACAGTGTCCTTTCCAGTGCCCATGGACTTGAGCTCTGAGTCGCAGTCGTCGAGCGCCTTCTGGATCTGCTTGCGAAGTGTCTTAACGTGACGACCAATGTGACGTTGCAGCTGAACACTCAGCTTTTGCTTGAGCGCATTGGCACCACACATGGAGCTGGGAAGAGCACGCCATTTTCCGCGGCCAAAGAATTCTTCCTCACGTTGACGACGTTCACGGGCTGAAGGCCATGGCTGGCCTTGGTCGCGGGGTCCAGGGTTCAGCAGAACGTACCAGCCGAGCTTGAAGTAGTTTTGCTTATCTCTGTTCTGGACGAGCTCGATGAACTTGTCTTCCAGACCGATCGACTCGCAAAGATCGGGTTTTGTCAGGACACCAATGGTACGGCTGCCGGAGGGGTCGAAGTGGCGTGCCTTTGTGAGAATGGGTGCCTGGACGTAATCGGTGTTGCCGCCAACGACAGCAAGGATAATGGTTCGGGAACTCTTCATATATCGGTCGCAAAGGGTCTCAATCGTCTTGATGTCGTCCATCGACTGGTCGTTATTGGCGTTTTTGACGAGACCTGGAAGATCGACGAGAGTGAGCAGGGGCATGTCGGGACCTCTCTTCTCAACCACCAGAATGTCGCGAGCGGCGAATCTGCCCGGAATGTTCTTGGGGGCAATCATTTCCACCGCAGATCTCATGAGAGACTCAAAGGACATGTCTGTGTCGACAGCTCCGCCAAATTGTTTCAATCGCTCCTGGTCTCTGAAAGGCTTGTTCTTGTCGGGGATGATGGAGACGTTGAGACTCGCTTCGGCCGACCTGCGCAGGCGGATCTCGGTTGCGAATCGTGTGCAGGCGCCGGCATCACGAGGGAACGGGGTGCCAGTGATAGCCTCGAGGACGGAACTCTTTCCCGCCGACTGGTCGCCGACGACGACGATCTGTGGCAGCTTGACATTGTCGAGCTGGGCAAACTGCAGCTTGTCGATGAGCTCGAGAAGGCCGCGCTGCTCATTCGCCATGTCCGCCGTCCCCAGCGCCGAGTCGATATTCGGAGCCATGTCGCGTTCGGGTCTGATAGAGACGTTAGTTGGACGGTGACGACTGGTTTCTGGAACCTCGTACAATGATCCCATCACAGTCTGGTCTCGACGTATGTGTGATGTGGGTGATTGCGCAAGGAAAAGTCTTGGACCTCGAAAACAGGGTGCGAATACAACACGGGGAAGGGAGAGCCTTTTAAAGAGGAGACTACTGTTCGCCCAGCCCAAAGACCAAAGAACAAGCTTATGTGGGATTACGCAGTTACGCAGCGCAAGCCTGCATTACGGCGCGAGACGTGTCTCGACCGAACATCACATGCCCCCCAGGTGTGAGTGTGCCCAATAGCCTTGAAAGGGTGCCTGGATCTGGGCTCCAAGTCGTCGCAAAGCCGCGTCGTCAGCCCCCAGTGACGACCTTGGGGCGTGGGGAAAAGGGTAAAGCTTCGCCTACTTCTGCGTCGCCACCGGGGAATACGGCGGTACGGCGACATTAGAGTTGGCATTCCGTGGATGTTGCTTGGCTTGAGGCAGCCCAGCAAAGAAGAGGCATCCGTTTGGGCCCTTTTTTCGCCCGCCTACGGCAATACGGATACTGCAATTTCGTCTGTCACTCGGCGTCGGATACCAAAGCCGAGACCAGTCAAGGAGACTGGCAGATTGGATACTGTGGGCTAGAGTCTTTAGGACCACTCGGTCTCCGTTATGCAGGGCGAAAAAGACTTTGAACAACAGCGAGAAAGGTGAAAGCAGTCCCATGTGCGCAAAGCCACCGAACTTTGGGACGGGGACCAACGCGTTTGTGTCGAGTTTGGACGAATGACGTCGGTAGCTCGGCAGTGGCACAGCCTCATTTTCCCTGTCTGGCACATCCAGGAAGCCCGCCGTAAGAGGTGGAGGGCCATGGAGGCACACTTTTTCCTGTCAAGCTTATTGAATCGGCCGCCGCAAAGTCGCACTTCGTCTCGCTTCTTCGCCTGGTTTCGCCCTACGCATGACGAGCGTACGCGTCGGGAGGCACTCGAAGCCCCAATCAGAGGCGGGTATGTCCGTCTAGGCCGGTGTGAGGAGGATTTTGAGCCAGCCAACGTGGTGCTAGAGACGACGACGTTCAACGCCAAGATGTTGCTGGTGGTTGTTTTTTCGCCACTCGTTGGACTGCAAGGATCAGCCGGTGAAACAATTGGATTCCAGTGGCTGTGTGGAGGAAATTGTGGCTAAGCAAGCACAAGTGAGGAAGTTTTGAATGATTAGGTAAGTGAGGATGCCTCTCTATGTGGCTATGCTACGGGCTTTCTCGAACTGTGGCGAGTGCTCCGGAGATGTGGCTGAAGCTACCCTCCCATCCTCCATCTCCAAGGTCCGCCGAGACCCTCGAACATCCCGTCCTCGATCGCTCTCAATCCTACTTACCTGTATAGCTAGCTACCTGACTCAGGTCCAGTAGTGAATCTATTCAAGCATCTTTACTCATATCTAATGCTCACTTCAACAACCCCAAACCCCCCAAGGCATCAAGCATAACGGCGTTCGGATCTTTAAGGAATAACAGAGGTCAAGGAAGTATGAGCGATCGAAGGCGGGGGACGAAGTCATGAGACAAAAGTCAAAAGTTCAGGACTCGAACTTGTGAGGTTCGAATTCCTATGACTCTCGGTTGTTGTGCCACGCCGTGATTCTACCGGTTGTATGCCGCTCGGCTACTGAGGGTGATGGCTTTGAGATGAAAGTTGAATTATACACAGCTGTATTTAACCAGAGGGAGAACGGAATTCATATAGTCCATCTCAGTATTTAAACTCCTGCCCAACAAGCTTCTCGCTCAGAGCCCACAGCATCTCCGCATCGACTTTGCTCCTAGCCCAAGGATATACCTCCTCCTTCCACGGGTCGGCAACACGACAATCAGTAAGAAACTCCCCATTCTTGTCCTTTAGCTCCGGATCAAACGCCGCAAACACGTGCGTCGCGGCACCCTGGTCCATATCCTTGGGCTCGATATCCCCCATTCCCCACATATACTTGCTCCCCACCACAACATCAGCCTTACGCAGTGTTTCGAGGAACCCGGGGAAGTCATGCGCCTCGTGCGCGGCAAGGTTCGTGGGGACGTACCCCGGGCACAGACTAAACGCCATCACACCCTTTGATGGGCCCAGCCTCTCGGCAAGGGCGATGGAGAAGAGGCTGTTGGCCGTCTTGGACTGCCCGTAGGCCATCCACTTGTCGTAGTGCTTTCCTTCGTTGAAGTTGTAGTCCGTCCAGCGCACGTGGCCGAGCCTGTGGGCGTTGCTGCTGACGTTGACGATGCGCGGGGGGGAAGGGGATGCGAGGATCTTGAACATGATGAGGTTTGTGAAGAGGAAGTGGCCTAGGTGGTTTGTCTGGAACTGGCTTTCGAAGCCGTCTTCTGTGAGGCTGTAGGCTGAGGCCATGATGCCGGCGTTGTTGACGAGGATGTCGATGTGGGGGACGTCTGGCCATGAGGTCACTGTCTCTGCTGCTTTTCGGACGCTGGCGAGGGAGGTGAGGTCTAGAGTCAAGGGCTTGACCTTGATCTCGGGGTGTGTGATTCCGAGTTCGTCGATGAGGGGTTGGAACTTTGAGGGTGAGCGGCCGGCTAGGATGAATGTGGCTGGCCTAGCTACGGCGACTTGTTTGACGAAGCTGTCGCCGATGCTGCCTGGGGAGACGCCCGTGATGAGTATCGTCCTGCCGGCGATGTGGGGGGCGTAGAAGGGCACCAGCTCGCTCGCTTTGGTTTGGTTGTTGAAAGAAGGAGACATGGCTTTGGTGTTCTGTGTCGTACTGAACAGTTTAGTAGTGCTTAGTTTGGGAAGAGAGAGTAAGGTATTGCTTGTAACTGCCCCTCGGACAAGATGATGAGAACGCAGGAACGGCCTCTATATACCCACCAGTCTCAAACGATACCTAAAATAAACACTAATAAAGCATGTAAGGCGCGAGGCAGCCCGCACTCACTGGAAGCATGCTTGGAACGGACAGCCTTGAAATTGGTTCACCCGAAGATCACGACGCGTAAGATAAATGGGCTGCTCATGTTGCTTCGGGGCCATAGTTACCCGTTCTGCTACATGAACCCATCAGAAACCCCTTACAAAGGATACGGTGCCGGAGATAGGTATCCTTCATTGGGTGTTGGCAGTCTTGCTTTTCCTATATGGGAGACCTCAAGCACGGAGTTAACGGTCCTAAGAGATCATACCACCGTCATTAAATATTGTCAACGGGCTATGTTGGCACTGTCGGAGAAGTACCTGCGGCACAGATCATCTATAGTCATCTTGGAGCGCACAGAGAAGACATGTGGTAATATTGCCAATCGTGAAAGATTGCAGTCACATCCCCTTTAAAGCCCAACCTGAAAGTACACCATTCCGTTTCGCTAGCCTTCACGCATGCATAATTGTGTCCCTATTTTAACCCAACGCCCAGTTATCCGTCCCAGATTCCGTCCCTTGAAACACCCGAAAAAAAACCATCGACTCTTGTTGTCGATGAACGCCTGCTGTTGTGCGGCGTTCGACGCGGCGTGACTCTGCGCTCAGTTCTGACGGCCGTGCCCGCTACCCCACGTCGCGCCGTTGCTACTCGGAGCGGGTGCGGGGCCCCGCATGTTCGCGCCGCCGGCGGAAGCCGAGGCCGACAATCGGTAGGCGGCAATGTTGTGGAACGGCGCCGCCGAAGCAGGGGCAGTCAGCCAGGTGTTGAGACTGTCGGATTCATTGGGTTGATTGTAGGTGAAGACGTTTGAGAATTGTGCTTGCCTGGGCCGGGGAATGGCGGTGTATTGAGAGGGGGAACGAGCTTGGTTGGAAGACATCTTGGCGGCTGTGAGAGCAAGACTTGGGTGCTTGTTCGTCTTGGCTACGACTGAGATGATATGTGTTTTGTGAATTGCAATGAGAGATTGAGCGGCCCAGGGCAGGGGAAAAATCACTCGACGGACCAGCTTTTGTATTCAAAATGAATACTCCTCATGATCCTCGCTCCTCACCATCATGAGGAGTGAAGCGGGAGGGTCCTCCTCCTCTTCCTCTTCTTCCTCCTCGCCCTCCTCCTCACCGACAAAAACATCAGGGGCTTTTCAGCGGGGTCTTTTTGCGGTTGACTCTAAGGTATCGAAGAGAATAATAAAAGTGTGAAAGTCGTTGCCCATGATGATGATGAGGTCTGGGATCCGGTGATGATTGCCTCCTATCACCGCCGCCAGACGAGAGACTGGGCCGCCGCTCAAAAGAACCCTGCAATTCAAACCAGGCAAAAGTACGCAGGTACTTTTGACTCCCGAAGACTAGTGCAAGGCACGGCCGCTGGTCCTTGGTCCCTGATTGTCCATTGGATCAGGAGGAGTGCGAACGGATGTGAGATAGCGGTGCAAAAAGACCATGACAGAATGCGAACGGAATGGAAAGTTCGATGATCGACCGCTAAAGGTCTGGCACTTTGTCACCGAGCTTTTTGCTGAATCCTTCTGGCGTGGACTTTTGCCGCTTGGCCGCCGTACGGGTCAAGTTCCAGTCAACAAGAATATGGCTAGCATGGGTCATGCAGGGTACTTCTGCCTTGAGTTGGGCTTGATTGGCCGCCTCACCGAGGCCGCAGTCCGAGAACACTATATTTCAGAGATGGTCGCTTGCGTGGCAGGTCATGACTAGCAGGTTGGTACACGCATTAACATGTGAGCCTGGGGGCTCTCTTCATGGTTATGTGTTGGGAAATCTATCCGCAACTCGCCTGTAAGTTCAGACAAAGTCGGCTGACCTTTAGTGCAAAAGAGCCGCACAAGCAGCACAACGCCAAGAGGAGCCTTTTGGCTGGAGAAAATCCCCAGGTATCTATTCTCTCGCTCCTTTTCAGGGTTGATAATACCGTAGTTACCGTAGACTACCGACATATTGTACACACCACATGCTCGGCATGTGACATCCGTCTATTTTTCGCTGACGCTATGAGAAGATCAACTCCGCTCCCATCCGACTGTTCTGAAGACTTCCGCGAGCGCACCAAGAACTGTATCTACGATAGACTTGACGAAACCTTGGCGCTTGCTCTTGCCAGAGGAGTCCCGCAAGGGGTCTTCGCTTCCCATCGTAGGCAGGACGTTGTCGCTAGCGGACAAGCTCACGAAGAGAGCAAAGGGAATGAGCCAAACGCAGAGCCCAAAGTATGAGGCGATCTCGGTGAAGCTCGGGACGTCGGGTTGATCGTAGTAAGAGTGCATGTTCGAGTACGATCTTTGCTGCGCGGCAGAGAAGTGGCGGAACCAAATGTAGTGGTTGACGAGGACCAGAACTAGACAAGCAAAGGTTAGTTCCGAACGTGGATGTATAACAGCACAGAAACATACCACAAGAGGCCAGGAACAGAGGGTCAGTCAGCCTAACGAAAGGGAATCGGCGCATGTTGCCGAGGTAGACGACATGGGAGACAACTCCCATGAGGGTCAACTTGAAAGGAAATCGGTCGACGATGCATAGCAAGAGCTGCAAAACAATAACCGAGTAAATCAACTTTGTAAGAAGGCGCTTCGCAAAAACGGTATGCTCCTCGACAAGTTCCGATAAGTAATACAGACCGGAAGCTAGACACAGGGGTGTTAGTAAGGAAGCATCCTCAACCCGAGTGCCAAGGGAGAATCCGGGGGATCAGGACGAACCGATGGCGAGGGTCAGAAAGCAGAAGCCCACGATGGAGCCAAGGTAGCCGACCAAAGGTAGAATCCACATGGTGACGGACGTTAGGTTTAGAATGTCGTCGTAGTATGTCGCATGAAGTGAAGTGAGAAATGAAAAGAGAGAGTGTGTGAAGTTGTTGAATTATTGGTCTGCCGGGGGAGGAGGGTTGTGCACAGAAGCTCCCTACATTGTCTCTTGAAGCTATGACGGAGCTGGCCAGGGCGCGTCGTGAAATCCACTTTGCGAAAGCGTGGCCTCTGCGCGTCGGGTAGGTACCGTAGTGGACGGGCACTCGGGAGATTCCATGATCCGCGGTAAATGAGATAAGCGATCGTTTGATTGGACGCATCCTCCGGCCTTCAACCTCACAGGTACCTAACCTGAGTACCTTTTAGTGACCCCCGGCTGTCGCCGGGGACTTTATCCTTATCGATAATTATCGATGGTGGTTGTCGGGTTTCTTATCGATAACTATCCGTGACCCCCCAGTTGTGAATTTTTGAGGATTTCTCACGACACACAATCCACCGCCCAATTCTTCGATGCGCCGGCTTGACGACAGACTGCCTTGAAGCGAATATTGACGGGAGGCTCCATTCAAGATCGGCCGAGTTCAATCTTCCAACAGAAACTGCCCAATATGTCGCGCCCTGAGGATACCCTGTAGGCTACAGGCCTCCCCTCCAACCCCGCCATGTGCCTCCAGCTGACCAAATCTCTCTGCTCTCAGTGCGGCCGACATCCACTACAATGACTCCGAAGCCCGCAAGTACACGACGAGTTCTCGTATCCAGAATATCCAGGCGTCCATGACCCGCCGTGCTCTTGAGCTCCTCGACCTCAAACAGCCTTCCTTCATTCTCGACGTTGGCTGCGGCAGCGGTCTCTCCGGCGAAATCCTTACCGCCGAGGGCCCTGAAGATGGTGGACCACACACCTGGGTCGGCATGGATGTCTCACCATCCATGCTCGATATTGCTCTCCAAAGAGACGTAGAGGGCGATCTCCTCCTCGCAGATATCGGACAGGGCGTACCATTCCGCGCCGGCTCCTTCGACGCTGCTATCAGCATTTCCGCAATTCAATGGCTTTGCAACGCCGAGAGCAGTGATACCTCGCCCGAGGGCCGCCTCACCAGATTCTTCAACGGCCTCTATGCGTCATTACGCAGAGGAGGTCGCGCCGTGTGCCAGTTCTACCCCAAGAACGACACCCAACGCAACATGATTACTCAGGCCGCAGTCAAGGCCGGCTTCGGCGCCGGTCTGCTCGAGGATGACCCCGAGACAAAGAACGTCAAGCTCTATCTTGTGCTGACTGTCGGCGGTACCGCAGAGGGCGGTCGCGGAGGAGACATCACAAATGTCGTTGATGGTATGGACAACGTCGATGTCGAGGACGCGAGGAGGAAGGCCAGTCAGCAGAGTGGTAAGGGTGACATCAAGAAGGGAAGTAAGGCGTGGATCGTCAAGAAGAAGGAGCAGATGGAGAGGAAGGGAAAGGTCGTCAAGTCTACCTCCAAATACACTGGGCGCAAGCGCAGAACCGCTTTCTAGACGGACGGTGCTTGGGCGGGGTTTCGGGGATGTCGCATGGCATGGCGTTCAGGGGTACAACGGAAAACTTGTTTTAAGAGATCGAAAATTGAATCAGATACCCTCATTTACCTCTCAGAGTCTCTCTTCTCCACCCGAATGTGTCCTCGTCACGAATTCTGGACTTGGGGAGACCAATGATTCCGGGTTTGCAATACGGAGGGAAAAAGGCATCTGACGACACCATGAATTGAACAACGGATGCAGTAATACCTCGGGAGACTTCATCGAGGTAGACAACAACTCAAGCATCCAACTCATGATGTGACAGATGACAGATGAGGCAACTTTGCATCCTATGACCCCTTTCCCCTTCATCTAAAGACCGAATCCACCAAGGTATGTAGCCTGATACGGTATGATCCTGTACCACTTGCCTGTGAACCATAGAGCGCTTTTCGAATGCCAGACGTCTTTAGAATTCCATCTTTCCAGCTAAGCCATGGATTTGATAAGATACGATTCTTTCCTCCTCATCAATGAGATGAGATAAACAGCATCTAGTAAGCGTAGATAACAGATCCACAGGAATATTTGTGCAGCTCATTTACGATACCACATTCTCGACGTTCTTCCCTGTCGCATCTTCCGTTGTAGTTGCATCATTCCATAAAGCAGCGCCTCGCTCGTCGGCGGGCATCCAGGAACATAGATATCCACCGGCACCAAGCGATCACAACCACGGACTACAGAATAACTGTAGTGGTAATACCCTCCGCCGTTGGCGCAGCTCCCCATACTAATGACCCAACGCGGTTCCGGCATCTGATCGTAGACTTGGCGGAAAGCGGGCGCCATCTTATTCGTGACAGTACCGGCGACTATCATGACGTCTGACTGGCGCGGTGATGCTCGAAACATGAAGCCGAACCGGTCTTGATCGTATCGTGGCCCGGCAATTTGCATCATCTCTACGGCGCAGCATGCGAGGCCGAATGTCATTGGGTACATCGATGACTGACGACCCCAGTTGGCGAGCTTGTCGAGGGTGGTTCTGGCGAAAGAGTGATTAGTAGCAACTCAAGGGTGATGCGCCTGGGACTGGGGTACATACACAGCATATTCCACAAGGGACTTAGGCTGTGATTGTGTAGGAAGGGCGATCTCGCGACGGTTGGGGCGTGGAGAGACAGATTTCTGGCAGCTAGTGGAAGTTGCTATGCGTCGAACGCTGGCCGGTGCTGGAATTGATCTCATCGCGAGTCCCACGGCGCGGGGCACCTGGCTTGCAATAGACTTTGACATAATGTACAGGAGAAAGAACTTTTTCTTCCAGAAGTAGGAGCAATGAAGATTGGAATAGACGGAGGAACGGAAGGGGTAGCGGGGCTTCTTAAAGCCCGGGAAGTACGCATGGGTCCCAAGCTCTGGTACTCAGGGCTAGTGGTAAGGCATATAGGAAGACTAGAACCAGGGGATAGGATCTCAGGGATTTACTAACTTGGTTTCGACTAGAAATTGAAGAGAGCAGCCAATTCGACTTACAGCGTCGTGAACACGAAGCTTTCATGAGGCTTCAGCTGATGCTTGTCATGGTCCAAGTCCATGCATCTTGCGAAGCCAGGCCTCAGATAAGTTTACCAGAACCAGAGCAAATAATCCAGAATAAAACGAGAGCTCGAATACAATGGTATTCTCAAATACAATTATGAGATCCCTCATCAAGTTGTTCAAGATCGCGAGCTAGTAGGCCTTTCGCGCATTTCGTTGATCATAATTGGCCCTCCGTCTAAGTCGAAGCGCAGCCCCACTTCGTTCTCGTCGCGAGTCCGAAGTGGGGCCAAGTGATCCGAACCCGTCTGCGCGGGCCCCGTAAATCCGTCGTCAGTAACTCGACCGCAAAGGCAACCCGTCCGCTTCATTCCTTTGACAGAACAACAATCTGATCAAGACAACCCGTTATGCGTTCTACCAGCCCCCAGAATCGCCGGTGTCGATGCTGCTAGATTCCTGGAGCAGTAACCCCTGACCTCGGCTGCAACCCACTGACGCTTGCCGCTGGACCCCTAACTACTTGATACTTAGTGCCCGCCAGAGCTGTTAACGCCAGACATTGACATGGAAAGCCTTCCTTCCTTGAGAAATGGGCCTAAGAGAGCTCATAAGAAGGTTCGAACGGGATGTGTTGCTTGTAAGACGAGGCACGTAAAAGTAAGGCAGGCGGCCATCCAAGGCCAAGTTGAGCCCATATCTAACTTCTATTCGGGATAGTGCGATGAGAGAAGACCACAATGCAGCCAATGCACTAGGCAAGCTATTGCCTGCAGTTATCCTTCACCAAAACCATACCCTCCCACGGAGACTGCGACATCAACTCTGTCTCATAGTCTTTCCTTCAGGGACGGAGCACTTGATCTCAATATGCTTGATCTCGAACTCATACATCACTGGACACTCTATACATACGATAGCTTGACAGTCAGCCCTGTGATTCGGACTTTCTGGCTGAGGAATGCGGCGCGAATCGGGTTCCGCTGTGACTTTGTCATGCGGAGCTTACTGGCCCTGTCCGCCGTTCACCTAGCAACTCTGAACCCAGCGCGAGAAGAAGCCCTCTTTCGACATGCACTGAAGCACCACAACACATCGACAGCGGCAACTATTGCATCAATACATCATATAGACCAAGTGGAAGATGTCGCAATGCGAGAAAACCTTTTCCTATATTCAATGTTCATCATGTTTTATAGTACGCGTAGTCCACTTCCCTACTCGACCAACATGTGGCGCTAACATTCCCGGTACTCTCGTAGTCATCTCACAGACGGAACACCCCCAAGATGCCTTGTTTGGCCGTCCGAGTCGAAAAGAAATATCATCACCGGACTGGATGGTGTTCTTCCACGGATCAAGATCAATCGCGCTCGCGTCAATGGCACTACACACCACGACCAGTCTAACTCACCCAGTCATTGGCTACACGATAGGAATGCTCGCAGACCGTGAGAGGACGTCAAAGAAGCAATACCTCAGCACCTTACTTGCTCGCATAAGACAAACCGAGCTGAACGAACATTACGAAACGTACCTGCACGCCGCGGAAGAGCTTGAAGCGACTTTTGCGGTCCTGGCCGAGTTCCCTGAGAGCAGAGACATCTTTCACGGGTTCCTCTGGATTAGCAACGTATCGGACCATAGGGGAGATTTGATAGCTTTGATTCAGGGCCATAATGCCTCCCAGGAAGCACTGGTCGTGTACACGTACTTTTGCAAAATAATCCAAAGGCTTCCGACAAGATGGTGGTCTGAAAAATGGGTCCGGGGACTCAAGGATGGTGCGTTTGCCTCCCTTGATGAGGAACATCGAACCTGGGTCGTTGAACTGCCAAGTTGGACTTGATTCGTCCTCAAGCGCATGGCTTTATTCAGTCGCCTCGGACATCAGGAGTCACCCGCAGACGTGCCGGTATGATCTCCATATTCCCCGACATTGACTCGTCTTTTACGAGCATCCATGTTCCCCCGAACGGTCCACGGACAGCTCTGACAGCTAACCGATGACAACCTCATCGTACCTTATGCACATGGCGTAAACTAGAAAGCAACGCTGATCCTAGTGCCGAGATGTCGGAAAGCAAACGTCAGACGCTAGGACCAATGCAATACCTTGGCCTTCATTGGCTGGACGCTAGGGTGGACATTGTGCGATAGGCGAGGAGCCGTTAAGACAAGGTCCGCCGTTCGGGAAACGGCCCCCGGCTTGGAAATTGAGACCCGAGCTTCTGGGAGATCGGCGGGCCGGGCGGGCTGCGTTGCGCAACCGAGCCGGAGCCAGGGGACGGACTGACAGGACAGAGTTGTACTTTTAGGCCGTTGCTCGGCGGACGACTCAAGTTGGTCTTGCGAGCGTACATGGAATAGAAATACCCTAAATGAAACCCTCGGCATCTGTTTACGTGGTTTTTGGAGCAAGAATCATCAAACCAAGCTACAATCTCTGTTACAAGATCTCAGTTGATACTCGTCTTCTCACTATCTCTTAGCAGTCACTGCAGCTAAGTCTATCATCACATTCGCGATGCCTTCAGCCGCGTTGTCGCTCCTTGTTTCAGCGGCCGCGGTATGTCAGCCGGAAACAAAAAAGCCTTACCCAAGCTAATCACTTTCTCAGCTAAGCATCTACGGAGTGGCAACGGTCATCTACAACCTCTTCTTCCACCCCTTACGCCGCTACCCGGGACCCAAGCTATGGGCAGCTACGCCTGTACCTGCAGCCGTCAACATCCTCCGAGGCACTCCCCACCTGACCATTCTGGAACTGCACAAGCGCTACGGCGACGTCGTGCGCGTTGGACCCAACGAGCTGGCACTTGCACACGCTGACGCATGGAAGGATGTCTGCGGACATCTCAAGCGCGGACAAGACGAGAACGGAAAAGATCCAAAGTACGGCAACGAAGAGATGGACAAGAGTCTTATTTCGGCATCACGCGAGAGGCACGGGCCCGCACGACGACTTCTGTCTCACGCGTTCTCTGCTCGAGCAATGGCGGAGCAACAGCCCCTGATGGACCGATTGATCAGCCTCTTTATTCAGAGAGTACATGAACACAGCAAACGTGGAACGGTGGCTATGGATGCTTCCAAGTGGTTTGAGTGGACGACGTTTGACATTATTGGGGATCTGGCCTTTGGCGAACCCTTTGGATGTCTGCAGAACTCGGCCTCGCACCCTTGGGTGGACAGCTTCTTCGCGTCCATGAAGATCATCCCGTGGATTCAAGCCATTAGCGACTTCCCTCTCTTCTCTGTGTTAAAACCTCTCTACTTCATTCTTTTTGTTCCCAAGGATGTGCTGAAACAGCGGCATCTAAGCCAGGTGATGGCCGAGGAGAATCTGAAGAAGCGGCTGGCTATTGGGGGTGATCGGCCAGACTTTGTTCAAGCCTTATTGAAGAGCGGCGAGAAACACGTGAGTACCAACTATCGAACCCACAGCCCAAATCTCCTACGTTTTCATCTCACAGATATGGTGTGTAGGAAATGTCTCCGATGGAGATGAGGGATAACATGGTCCTTCTCACCACCGCCGGCTCTGAGACAACTGCTACGACTCTCGCGGCAACGACATACTTTCTGGGCAACCACCCCGAAGTCCTCGCAAAGCTGAACGCCGAAGTTCGCTCAGCATTCAAGAGCGAGCAGGAGATTGATGTCAACAGCGTCCAGAGTCTTCCTTACATGCTTGCTGTTCTCAGAGAGTCAATGCGAGTTTATCCTGCTGTTGCGATTGCCTTGTTGCGTCAGACGCCTCCGAGCGGTGCGCAGATTGCCGGGGACTGGGTCGCTGGAGGAGTGAGTTTGCCTACCTGCATGATGACGCGGCTTGTTTGAGTTTCATGCTAACATCAAATACCATGCAGACGACTCTTGGTATCTGGCAGTATGCTGCGTATCACGATTCCACTAAGTTTCTTTATCCGGACGCGTTTATCCCGGGGCGTTGGTTGGATGATGAGCGTTTCGATGGCGACCAGAAAAACTTGCATCAGCCGTTTTCTTATGGCCCTCGCAATTGCTTAGGCATGAAGTATGTTTTCTAGTACTTGAACGTGCTCTTCCTCGACCTTGAGGTCTTGATCGAGATGGTTGCTAACATCATGCGTGTCTAGCCTTGCTTTTGCTGAGATGAGGTTAATTCTTGCCCGCATAATTTGGAACTTCGACTTGGAGCTGGCGCCGGAGAGTAAATCTTGGGCAGCTGGCCAAAAAGTTTTCTTCTTCTGGGACAAGCCTCCCTTGTGGGTGTACTTCAAGCCCCGACAAGAGCGATGAAGCAGCTGGTACCCAGTATGTGCAGATGAGGTGATTTCAAGATAGGTACGTTAGTATCAAAGTCTGAATGGCAACATCTTGCTTTGCATACGGTACCTTAGTCTGCTCTCACTTGACGGCTCTATCTCAATGAGTGGGATGCGCCGCCTTAGCCTCGGATTGCGGCCTTCATGTTCAGTGAGAAGTTCTTACATGAAACTACCAAGTTAGTTGTCGCTCAATTGAAGGTATGCAAATCCGCTCTTGTAACCTTGACAATTGCAAAAAGAGTGATCGAGTATATATATGGTAGCATTATAGGCAGGGAGGGAGCAATTATGCATGCAGGCTAGAGACCAGCCAGAAGGATCTTAATATTTGCAGCTCTTGTTTGCCGTCTTAGGCATGGAAAGCAATCGGAAAGAAAATTCTCGTGAAAGCTTGGAAATTTGGTTTCTCTTTTGTATGACCCTAAGAAGTAATCACGTAGGAGTATCAATATCATGATATCACGATTGCAATCACTTGAGTACTGGAGACACCAAGCGCGGACACATTCTTTTTTGCATCCTATACTTTGCTGAAGACAGAGTTAGCCAAAAAGATACAAATAGGACGCTCTTGAAGCAACTTACTTGAATGCTACGCCCGCGTCACTTGAACTGATCCCAGTTTGGATAAAGGTATCAGACCACACCTTGTTATACCTGAGGTGCCAAATGTTAGGTTTTCGCTGATAGTTTGAAATCTGACGCTCGAACGGGAAGGCCGAACCTATTGCAGATATAATAAGGGTTATAGGCACCGCGGTTGAATTGAAGAACCCTGTAAAGGAAGACAGAGGCGCATTGATCTTTGTGAAGAGAGTGTTAGACGTGAACGACGGCTCGTGGATGGAGTAGACTGACCTGTGCACTTAGAGAGACACCACTGCTCTATTCCGCTCGTCACTCCCTCACTTGCGCTATCAGAAGTGGCATCGTAGTCGGCACTAGCTACTCCATCACGCTCCAAAACCTTAGTAAAGCCTTGGGGAGCATCACTCCATGTCGGTTTTGGTGGCGGGGAAGGCTGTGCAGATGCCGATGACGAAGGCGCAGCAGAGGTTGGAGCTGGAACAGAGGTCGAGGTCGGCGCCTCTGGAACAGAGGTGCTGGTGGGAGCTGCAGAGGCAACGGAAGTTGCCTGACAGGAACCAGCGCCTCCCGAAGGCGCTGCTTGGCGACGTCTACCCGCAGAAGCTCCAGGGGCAGAACATGCCAAACCACGAGGGTCAATACCGTTCCAGATGACGGCGGGCTCGCCCTCGACTCTTGAGTATGCGAGAGATTTGACCATCTCCTTGACGTTTGTGGCGACTGAGCCCGGGACCTGAAGACGCGCCTTGTGCTCGTCTTGAGATAGCCAGACTGCAATCACGCCAGCGACTGCGGGAGCGGCTTAAGATTGAGTGTTAGTCATGTGTGCTTTTCAGACTGTAGTCTTTGTCAAAACATGTCAAATACTTAAGTCAACATACCCACTTCCTGGCACCCCCCTGTTTCTGGCACCACAAAAACGATGGGATCACAACCCAACCTCCTCATTACTATTAACTATTGATCCTCAACCACACCCACTACAATACAGCTGCCAGCCTCACTAGGGCATTCAGAGTCGCTGGATTCAGCCGTGATAACCTCCTTTTCACCCGCTTCGATTTGAGCCCGATGGATATCCCTGATGTTCGCGAACTTCGTATTGGGATCG